TTTAAACTAGACCCACTGAGCTAAAAGTCAAAGGCAACAACCTGTATATATTGTCCCGACCAGAACTGAAAAGATGCAGCCTGCTCTGGCTGGCATCAATAACAACTAACAGTTCGGGTAACACATGTTTTTTGGCAGATAAATACTCAATGAATGCATACATTTCTACATGTATGTATGGTTTGAAATAAGGTTGACTTTTACTGATTTCACTTATGTCCGGCATTATACATACAGAGGTACAGTGAATTTCTTACAAAGATGATTTTTATAAACAATGTTAATTCATCGACAAATATATTGCACTTTTCATTATGCTTGAAATTGAATTTTTAACTTCGGGGACCACCTGAAAAGTATTCAACTACAGCACTAATAATGAAAACATGAATTAGACATAATACCATTTTAAACTGAAATATGTTGAAAATGAGTTAAATTAACAATACATTTTAAATCCAGATATTTTAATTCACTAAAAGTAATTGTAACCAGTCACAGAATATTCCATCACCACTACTGTGTTGACAGCAGCAACCATTTTTTTTTTTAATTAGGATTTTGGTGAAATAATAAGACAAGTAAACAAACATTTCTGATGACAGTGAGAGATTCATAACACTTCTGTAAACACATTACTTTTAATGTCAACTGGTGTTTACTAATCAGGTTATTGACAATGGTCAGAAACTGGTTCAGCCCCCCCCCCCCTCCCCCATATGTAGGACATCAACACAATTGAAATAATAGATGTGGTGGGTATAATGTATGTATGATATTTTTATATGTGTCACAGACCCAGAATTACCTTTCAATTCATAAATCACACACACAAACACCAGATTTCAAAATACATGTTGTTATTTCTGTTCGCAAGACATGTACTGTTCACAGCTGTTATTAAAATCACTTTTTTGAAAAAAAAAAAAACATTTTAAAATTACGTACTGAAATTTTACTTTGATGCTCAGTATGCAGGCAGTAACTTTTTTTTGACAAAAATTGTCTGTCATTTCAAGGACTTAGCAAAGCAAACAATAACGTGCCACAAGTTGAACATGAAATTGAATGTAAAATTTAGAATAACAAAATTGGAATATCATGAATAACTCAAACAGATGGTCATTCATTGCAAACATAACATCAGCCCTTCAGTTACAAGCAAAGTTTGTAACAGTGTCAAAGCTATATGAACATTTTCAAATAAATCTTCCTAGCTATGTTACTTTTGCCTAATCCAAGTTCATTCTTTTAAACTATAGACGATTACATTCCCATTTTAAAAACCGTGAATGAGGTTTTACAACAATATACAAATAATCAACAGATTTATTCTTAAAAAGTAACCTTGTAAACAACTACACTCTGTCTAACAGCCTTACCCATGTATTCATATTATCATCCCCCATAATACTGAATGGTTCCACTACTGACATGAAAATTTCTATATACAAACTGCAAATACATCATTGTGCAACTCACGAATCATCTTTTTCCATGAAAAGTCAGTGACTTCTCAGTCATTCGCATCACTTTTTTCTACAAAACTGTAAACTAGTCACGCATATCAAGCATTTATTAAGCTACATTGACGATTTTTTTCATCGTTTTTTTCTATGTTTTCCTAATTCAGACATCCAAGCTTAGCAAAACATACTGCCCATCACAAATAGATCTAAATTAAAAACATTCACTATTTACAACCATTAAAATAATTGCATTCAAATTATGAAAAGCAACCTAGATTTTCAAATAACTATATATGGAAAGATTCAAAAGTTGCATCATCCACACTAAATAAGATTTAACAGTTGAGCACTTATCCCTTACTTTTTTTAGGAATAATGGACAATCAAGAATCACTGGAGTATGTGAACCATCAGTTTAATTTTATTTATTTATATTAATAATTTTATTCCAAAACTGGAATAACTAGGTCAACGGTTGTGTGAATAACAATAATATAAGCCTATTATAGCACACCAAACATACACGTGTGCACAATGCGAGAGACATGCACGCAGAGCATGTACAGCGACGGTCAGACTGGCACTCATGTTGTCAAAAAACAATCAGGTAACAGTAAACAATTAAATCCATTTATATGAGTCCTTCAAACAGTAATTTTCTACATGTTATTATAATATATTGGTCAGTAATTTGTCAAGTAGAGCTACAGAAATAAAAACCCAAATAAATGTAATGTAAGAAGACCAGAAAGAAAATTTTTGATGTAAGAGTCTTATAATTATAGATTTTACAATAGAAAACTTTCTGTATTCATATAAGCGTATGAATCGCTAATAAAGCAAATACTGTGGAATACTTTATTTTCGCTGGAATGAATTTTCACTGAAAAGGCTTTCTGGGCATTTTGTATGGAATTTATTTTCACTAATTATTGATCAGTTTAATGTGAAATATAGGAAAAAAAGTATATTCGCTGCATTTTATTTTCACGGAACCATTCCTTCAGCGAAAATAGCGAAAATAAATTCCAAGCAAAAATAAAGTATTCTACAGTACAACATTACAGTGACCAGAGACACCATAAGAATTTATGTTTCATTATTATTCCAGTATTTCATTCAGTTTCATTACTATTTCGATAATTTATTCGGTTTCATCACTATTACTTGGTCTCCATTCAAACTCTAGCCTACTAAATAAAAGATGTCAGCAACTTATAGGTACATATTCAATTCAGAGTCATATCAAATGGTTTGCCAAAGTAAACTGGTAGACCAAATTGGTGATGATCACAAGTAAACAAAAGAGAAAAATGGGATATTGTTACCAATGATCAGTGAAAGTCAATCTAGCTACTGTTAATTTTGTAGTAATTAGCACATAGATAAATGTGTTAATAAAATGAGCCAAATTATCACCATAGCACCAAGATATAACTTGGGCTGAATTGAGTGGGAACAACAAACAATGGCCCATTTCACCCCTACAGTTGCTATTGTCAACCAAATTCCCAGGAACAACAAAGCACATATAGTACAAACACCTAAACAGCAGTTTCATATTTTATCAAGGTCAGAACACATTTAGTTAGTTTGAACTGTCAATGTATTGCAATTTGTTTAAAATATTACAAGTTATTTGTATGAGCTTGTTCTACCAGAGAAAATGTCATCATAAAACATCATATAGATATCAACCAAGACAAAAGCTCCTAAAAGTTGCCGTGACAACAATAGATACCCCCCTCCACCTAACAGCTGTGGCTTGTTTAAAAAAGTACATGCAAGTACCTGGGAGCCTGATAGTAACTAGGTCACCATGATAATGAATATCTGCAATATTAACCCAGTTGAACAAAAAACATGATGTTCAAGAAGAAAAACAATTTTTAAAAATGCACCAAGCACATCAGCTACAAATGTGTTAGAAATGCAAATCTTATACACTGATTTATCAGATATGTTGATTAATGTGACCTATGAAGTGCATGAATCATTTTTGGCAGTGCGGTTAGGGAGATCAGCGCCTACTTTAAACCGTCGGATACACTCTACAGAGCACAGCCCTCTTTTGAACAACCAGGCAACTAAGTTTTGCAAAGCTGAAAGCAGTTCAAATACTGAGACATCATAGATATAGATATGCTGATTTTTGTGTTGTTTTATTGACAAGCACCCTTAGTTAATCTCAATGGAATAGTAATTTTTTGTGTGTGGTAAGCTTTGTTAGAAACAAACAAACTCTTGGTACATGGAACGTGAGGTTAATTTAATTGTCAGCTCGTGTAATACCAACAATAGTTTGCGGTTGATTGAATTGATAGGGGTCCATTATGCGGTCAAATCTGACCACTCAGAACAATTTCAATGTGGCAGTTAGGGGGCTACATTTACTGAACACATTTGCTAGGAATTAATGGTCAGGATTTATGGTTTTTTACCAAAAACTGTCACATACACTTTTTAAGTCCTTCCTTACTGCCTACTGACCACAATAATAGCCCAAAAGATGGTGTATTTCCCATATATAATGCAACAATACAAATCTGAGTTAGTTTCAACAGCAAAGAAATCCCTACTTTTTATTATACTTATGTTACTGAGGTAGTCACACCAAAATCAATGAAATATGAAACACTAGGTAAGCTATTCAAGTACAGAAGAAGAAAAAAATGTCAAATTCCACAAATTAGGAACATGAAGATGAATCCCACTGTTAAAAGTATCTCAAAATTTCACTCTGCCCTGCTCTGCCCCCTACAATAACAATCATGTGACTCTGCCAGCGCACACATCAATAAACAACCTCATGAGCAGAAAATTATGATTTTTGTGATTCTGAAAGGTGAAGGAATGATCACTTATTGTTTAAAGTTTTAACAAAAAAAAAAAACCAAAACTGTTAATTAGAATATTACTGTTTTAAGCAGATTTGCATATTTGTCTGTTGTTTTAGATGTTGTTTACAAAGCTGTTGAGCCACAACTGCTGTTCCCATTCACATAACCCACAGAGTTTAAAAACAATTTCATTAAATTTGCAGTGGCACCAAGGGAATGAGTTGAAACAAAGAGATGGCAACCAACTTCTCCTATGTATATGTGTTTTAAAGGACTGTTAGAATTAATACAAGAGTCATTATAAGAAATTCAAATTGCTCCTTAAAATATTACTGATCGATTTTCTTTCGTGGGAACTGTGATGTGTGGCCAATACGAAGCTAGTTCGGATACATAAGACACACCGATATGATGACCATGACTGACTGTTCATCGCCATAATTATGTAGTTTTTTTTTAAACGGCGGCAAGTCTACTCCGAAAATAATGCAGTGGCTACAGTGACTAACATCCACCACGCATAAGACGCGTGTCAGCCTAAGAGACCGGGGGAAACCCCACGAATCATTCGCTATTTTCAGAACTCCCTTTATTTGACAGTCATCGCCCCACCAACATTATCGTCTGAAGCGCAGATTGTTAAACATTTTAACTTTAAAATATTGCAGTTTAAAGTGGGCAACTACACACAAGGCCATGGTTTTCTGTTGGAAAATTAAATGTTTTGTGACATGATCACGCCGTTGTCAAGTGAAAGTGTGACGCCGTCAGAAAGCAGTCCAGCTGACGAGTAGATCGGGTGATCGAGGCCGCCCACGCATCTTATGCAAGTTTCGCAATCACAATCAGTCATCGAGCACATGCATTGTGAGAAATTGGAAATCTTAACTAGTAAAATTCGCTGAAAACATACCTTGCTGTTTCTTGAAGTACGAGATGTGGTTGAACAAAGAATTTCACCCTGAGTTGTAGTCGAAACGGCGGTGGGCCGGTCAACTGTGCGTTGAGTGGATTACGAAGGTTCAGCCACAACGTTTCGCCTTTCCGACCCGTATACTGAAGTCCAAAGTAGTCGACTTCGATCACATTCATTTTTGCACAGAGCTGAAACAAGACAGACTAACGTAATTAGTATTTCACGTTCACCATACCCCACTATCAACGAAAAATCGGCGTCCTTGTTAGGCAGAAAGCAGAACTCGCCATCAGCTGCATAGCAGCCCAGCTGATCACAGAAATCAGCTGATTGCGCTCCATGCACGTATGAGCGCAACTCGTCTTCGATCGTGCGATTTTTTTTTGTATAAATAAAATGTTCAAGATTATCCAGAAAATGCTTACAATTTTCGGGAATAGATTGGGGTTGTATGCAGGCAGTTCCAAACAAATTACGCTAAAGGGGGGACTTCAAGAGAGGGTATTTAAAATACAAAATTTGAAACCCACAAAGAAAGTGACAAACAAACCTTACCTGATCGAGACACTCTTGCCCAATATCTTTGGGACTTGCATCCAATTCTATAACAACGGAGCCCGGGAGTGAAACTAGAACCAGCATTTTGGCAGAAAAGAACGACTGGAACTAAAAAGATGATGATAAAAATTAACCAGAACTGAAATATTCCAGGGTCTAAAATAGAGCTACATATGTGCAGTCGGCTCGGATGAGTGCGGCTACACGGATACGTATTTCAACGGTAAAGTCAAGCGGGCGATATCAAAATTGTGCGAGGGGTACGAGGGTGACATGTGTAGGAAACGACTGGAATCATTTTTTTATATGCGAATTCTATTCAACTAAATGATCTCCAATCAAATATACATTACCTGTTTAGCGTTCCAAACTTGCAATATCTGCCAACTTTCGCCGATTGAACAGACAATTTTGTTGTAATGGCAGCGTGTTCACCGACAGGCCAAAATAATCAGTCTCGATTGAAAGCGTTCACACATCGGTCACGTGAATGACATCATTTCTAGCCAACCAACGTTTAGTAAATTGACCCTAGAGAGGTGACGAGGCGGGGCCTACATATATTATTGACGTCATAAAAGTTGTTTACGACAAAAAAATCGTCCTCAAACGGTAGATTTTTCGCATTTTACATGCGATCTTATCGTGCAAATGCAAAATAACCTTGGTAGATGTGGGTGCCAACATATATATTTGGTCCAGTGTTAATGAAATGTTCAAGGAAAACGACTTTAAATGAAATTTTCCTCTCGAAAGTATGTCCTTGTTTTTTTCTCGTCTTGAAAAAAAATACCCATTGTGTGCAAATGAGCTGCCAGTCCATGAAGCGTGAACAAGTAGGTTGGATTATTCCATTTTACCGCCGTCAGAGGAGAGGACGGTATGACATGATCATTACCTCAAAAAGACATTCCACAACGAAGAATACAGTTTATTTTGGGTTTGTTGAAATCCAATTTTCACCATCGACGTTGAAGATATAAATAACAACAATACAAACAATACGTGTTAATTTGATCTTTGTCCAGGCGACGAGTGATTGAGCGCCATTAAGTTGGTCGGCTTCCAAATGTTAAAACAATCAAAGGAAATGACATACTTTGACCCTCAAAAGGTCAGTGTTCTTTCAATAGGCTTCCCAAATTAAACAAAAAAAATGAAAACAACAACAAAACTGTTTGTATACAAAATATTTTGTTTTACATACACACTACCATTGTTTTTAGAGAATTGTTTCGAGACTATGAGTTCAAGTTCACGATTCCAATTTTAGTATCGCATCGGTCTGTTGGATCTTTTACCCCTAATTTGTTAGTGATCTGATGTTGGATCACTGGTGACCCGGACAGAAGACCACCATGTCGAATAATACACAGGCTCGGACTCTGGAGCCCGGGAAAGTAGGACGATCTGTCAGGGGACTAATACACGTTTCTTATAGCAAGCACGGCGCAAAATACCGGCGTACGCAACCCGCTATTGTCTATACTTGAACCATTATAGCAACAATAACAATAATTTTGGTTTGAATAACTAAATTGGATTTTCAGGACAAAGATACTTTTGAGATTTATTATTCAACGGGAATCAACATCAACACAGATCAAACATAACGTCCACCGATGAACTTTGCTAGAACATCGATGTGCCACTTTGACTGTCATGTCCAGGCCTAGTATTTACAATTAATACGGAAACAACGATCCGACGAAGCAAGGAATAAAGATATGACAGACATATAGGCACGGTCATCGTACGCACTGTCTCCACACTGAGTTACGTAACAAAATAAATACTGTGCACAACGAAAATGTTACATTGGTATTACGTTAGTGAAAAATAGAATAATAACACTTATAATTTAATGGCGCCAAAAAGTGAAAGATGGAGATTGCAGAATGGACATGATGGCACTGCATTCTCACCATCGATTAGCCTGGAATATCAGTATGGACCGACTGAAGGACACTGCACTGGGTGGTCACCAGACTGCCAGTGAGTTCTCACTGTCCTTGCTCTTTTTGCGTTTTGAATCACGTTCCGCACAGTTCGATGACTATTTCGACAGAAGATTTGGATTCTAAACTTACAAAAACGTAACACGAAACATTTGTTGCAACAGTTTCAAACCTGTGTGAAAGATGACTGAGAAATAGTCTTGGCCGCCTTTGCCCCATCAATTTCTGAGTTGTTCATCGGGCGAGGAACGTTGTACACTATTTTAGACGACGCACTTGGGCCACCAATAAGCAATGCGTGTTTTTGCGATTTTGCCACTCCTGGTGCCGTAAAGTAAATTACCACAATTCAGTCCAAGCTATAATTTAAACTCATACTGATTTATTAGCTTACACTACATTTATTTCATTTTCAGTTTACCCACGGTTACTAACCGTGGTTTACCCATGAACTGAACATTTTAAAGAACATTTAGAAACTAAAACTGCTCGTTGAAAACTGTCCAACCAATCGCACTGTGTATTTTACGTCACTAGACTAGTGTGGGTGAATATAATTCCTAAATGATCTTAGCATATCAGCAATCAGGTTTCGCATTCGATGAAATCAGGGCACCCAACAGCAAATCACAACTCGTGTTTGATTTTGAATCTACATTTAAAAATATTACAGTTAACAACATCCTTGGGTAATCCGAAACAGTGTCTGAATCAACTATTAAACAATTTATTGTTTGTTAACGAGCTTACAACAAAACATCCGTGTTTAATTTTTCATGAACGGTTATCACGGAGTACTGTAGCCACGGTATACATTCAGGCCATAATACCACACTCTTTCATATATTGCCAAACAATACTGTGTAACACAATAGTGTATTTTTAATCTACAGTAAGTGAACAAAATATCAGATTCGGATGTTACTAGCAATGAATTAGTGGATTTGTTTTTACTTCGCACTTCGCAAGGACAACTTAAACTTGCCCTCTGATAATACGCACTTCAATGTTAGCCGCATATCACCTTGCAACTGTTAACACTACTGAAAAAGTAGCACGAACAGATTGAAACCACTCGCGCACTGAACTATTACCTAGTTATTGCATATTTGATTAGAACAGGGTAAGAAAGCATCCATGAACAGGGTAAGGAAGCATCCGTGTATAAGCCGCGTAAGTTAATTGGACCATGACGTCATCACCGTTGCCTGAAAATGCCGAGTTAAATTCATGGGCTTATTTGTGTTTAGTGTTTTTAAAAATGTATTTGAACAGTTTTTGGTGTTTTTTATGGCCTCACTGCTATCATGCGTGATGTCAACAGGATTATATTTTCGTAACATTTGATTATCGTGACAACATCGACACACCAACCACCACCACTATACGTCCGTGATTCGGACAGATCCTGCAGGTAGCATAGTACTACTTTCATGGAAGGATTATCCCCGACGCATATCTCAATGAAAATATATAATATGCCGAGACACCTAAACGATGTCTGACGCAAAATATCGAGCTGCATATGTGTAAATTTGACAAGGACAAGGACGTATTCCGAGACAGCCCGAGCATCGCGACGCAAAACACCTATTGACCTTTATAGGATAGGATATTTCATTTGCAATGTACACAAAAACAGTAAAACAAAATTAAACAATTATATGTGAAATCAGTGGTTTTGGTTTGATGCAATAAATATATAATTGTATTCAATGATGCTACAAGTACAATTAGTGAAAAATATAAATATGATAATGCGCTAGAAGGTGAGTTAATGTGATAAAAACTGGTTGTAAACAGCAATAGATGTTCTCTCCAGACGTAACGCTGCAATCAATGATCACACTACAAACTCCGGGTGAATGAAAACGCAGGTAAAAGTACAACCAGTTACGTGTCCGATCAATCCCGGAAATACAATAATCCCTGAACATGAGCTTACTACATTTGAACTATAAACATTATATTTTTGTCACGACATTTCGTGATTGGTCGTCAACGTTGTCCTAACAAAAGATTGCTAGCAGTAAACACAATACAAGAAAGTTAAGGACTCGGCATCAGCGCATGCGCCGCATCCTTGGGGACAGCAGGCAAAATGTTGACGAGTTTGCAAAGTCTGAGTGGCTGGCTCGACTTACACTTTCCCTTGATTTGACCTTTGTATCCAGGGATGGACCATTATACCTTAGGAGGATTCATGATATTTTGTTTCTGGCTGCAAGTAACTACTTTATGCAGAGCAAAGTATGCCGGGTAATATTCTGACATCATGTTGTATTACCCTATTATATGTAACAGAAGTTTCGTGTATTGTCACGAACAGATAGAGGGTGTGCTGATTTTCCATTAGAAAACGAAAATCAGTCTGAAACATATACACGTTCACGAAATGACCTCCGTTAATGATGATCTTTTTGCGACTAAGATATAGTGGTAATAATAGCTTCAAACTAACTCCTTGGTGTATTTAAAAAAATCGTACCCGCATCCCGACACCAAACCGTTGATAAAATCACATACACTATTTATTTTACATTTATTTTCTTTCTTATCCCATGGACCTACCAGTAGGTACATCCGCACCGACCCGTGATTATAAAGCTGTGAAACAAAACAACAAACAAACAAACAAACACATAAAGTGTCGGTCGGTTTTTTGGAAATTTACCACGGTAAAACATGGAAGGTACTAACGTTAGTACCTTCCATGGGTAAAACAAGTCTTTTAGCTAGCATGTCATTTTAGCTAATTTAGCTAACATGTAATTTCGCTAATTCAAGATGTCGCTAATTTAAAATAAAGTACATTCTCATAATGAGATTGTTGGAATTTTAGCTAAATTTTGTTAAGATTTTGTTAATTCAGTGAAGTTGAGTCAAATTCGCTAAAATGGCATGTAGCTATTTCAGTGTGTTTTACAGTATTGTGCTATCTACAACGAAGCAGCGACGAGACGTCACACGCGACAGCTCGATGTTGAATCTCACCGGGTGTGCTGCGAGACTAAAAAGGTGTGGTCGAAATTACCTCAATTTGAATACAATGAATAATGGTATAAATGCGCAATGGCTATTTTTAGAATCATATCGTAAGCCATGCAGCTTTGCCTTTTTATGTAAATGATCTACTCATCATGTTTGACTCCTTTGCGCGAAGCACACAATGGGAGTCTTTGCAGTTTTGCGTCTGAGTCTGTGTCTGCCGGGGTGCGTGCGTATGTGTGTGTGTGTTACCAACGTTGTGACGACGTGTATGTGTGTGTGCGTGGGGGGGGGGGTCTTTACCACTGATACATGTATTTCAAAAAACGAGTATCAGATTTTATGAAAGTTGGTACATAGATGCTCTGGGATATTGCGCAGACCTGATTGGTTTTTGATTGAAATCTATGCTTATTAATACCCTAATTTGCTTTAAGTTACCAATTAGCCAATTAACTATATAATATATATGGTCATGTGACCTCAATGTGCATAACTGTAATATTGCAGATGCTACTAGTGCTATAATTTTAATATCCAGCTACTTGGAACCACGCTGATCATTGCTTGCAGTCATATTTTTTAATGCTGTATTTGCTCTAATAGAAACACACATACTGTAGAATACTTTATTTTCGCTTGGAATTAATTTTCGCTGTTTTCGCTAGAGGAATGATTCAGTGAAAATAAAATCCATACAAAATAATACATTATTCCTTATCTGTACTACATGACTCCGATACCTTCGGCACGACACGTCTTTCTAAAATTTCTTTGATTTTTTAAATATCTACGT